TTGATGGCAACAATACCCCGTTTTTCTCCAACTGGCTTTGTTCTGATGGACCTGGTTCAGAAGGTATATTCGCGGGGAAACACTTTAAATTTCTTTTTTAGAAAAAAGGGACTCGTTAGACCCTCCTTGGAAAATCCTCAGGAATTAGGACAGAGTCCTTGGAAAAATTTGCAGTTTTCGGGGTCGTCGTTACACCACGTCCTAATTCAACCCCAAGGGAAACCCTTGGAGGTCTCCGGCGGCCAATTTCATACGCATACACGCAGCCGCGGGGGTGGATGTCCGTGCGTCCTCGGGCGTGGTCCAGTGGCGGCGGTGGGGAGGCCTACTGGGCTGAAGAAAAAAAAGGGTGCCAACATCCCGGTTCAAATTTCAAATTTTGAACCCTCCATTGTGATGCATCCGCGCGTGAGGCGTCCTGGCAGCTGGACTGGAGACTGGCGCGAAACGTCTGTGTGGAGGAGTGATGGCGGTCATGGCTGCATTGGAACGTTGGGCGACATAGAGTGTATGCATAACGATTCTCTACTGCGGCGTCGCCTTCATGTTCCGCATGCTCTTCGGGCTGTCACAACTGAGCACGAAGTTCAACGTAATGCTTCTGTGAAACGTGGAGAGTGTGAGCGCGGTCCCCATCGATGTGCATAACGTGCAGCGAGGGCACCGGCGGGCTAACGAGTGGTGGGTGCTTGTGCATTGCAAGTCCTGATGATGGAGGGAGAGCTCCCGGGTGGTGCAAAGGCATTAACGGCATTAGAGAGAAACACGGTGGTTGCAGTTGTGTCAGTCGTCACCATGCGTTATCGCATTGAGAGCACGACAACTCGCTTGAGGATGAGATTGTTCGTTCGCAAGCAGAGGCAGTTGATGCAACAAGTGATGGATGCACCCGATTGTGTGTCGTTATCAGAATCCATTGTGCAATTCTGCTACATCATGGCATCGAGTGTGATCCTGCGGGCGACGCCAAGATGGCGGATGAGGAGAAGGACGGGAGGGACATGGGAGGATCTCCGGCAGGTTGACAACGTGGTGGAGGCTACTACAAGGAGAAGCTGTGGAGTGGACTAGTCAATGGCGTGCGCTGGCTGTCTACTGAGGTTTCCCGCCTGTCCATCGTCGTCTTCCTCACCATTCGTCGTTCCCGTCTGCTGCCAGGACCTCGCACAACGACGCACACGTGGAACAACACGACAAGGAGCAAGAGAAGAGTGGCCAGCAGCAGGAGCGGGAACCGCCAGAGGACGTCTGCCATGAATCGCAACATGCGAGGCGTGTACCAAACAAAGCTTGCATCTGCGCGTGGCAATAGCCGAGAAAACACGCTAGGCAGATGACTGCAATCGGCCGATAGTGCTTCAACATCGCTTGTAGAAAAATAAAAAAAATCGACCGTTGGACACCACGGCCGGCGACGCATGCATGGAAAACCCTGCTTCGTGAAGCGCCTTGCAGTTGAAGAACCACCCCTACGCATTTCCGCGCCAACGGTAACGGTGGAAGGCCGTTGGGGCCCCTCGGGAAGTGGAGGCCGGTGATGTCCGCCCAATGGACCACGGACGACCTGTGCACCAACATCGACTCCAAATTTTCCTGTCGGCGCTCGCTCCAGAACACTCCGTCAATTACGGCTCCTTTAACCCAAGGGACCTCGCGAGGACCCCTTGAATCCAAGGATGTTTTGGCTGGGGATTCTAAGGAACCCAAGGAAATCTCTCGGGAGCGTTTTCACATTCATCCAAGGAATTTGGTGAATTAGGGCACGGTGTAACGACGCGGATTTCCTAAAAATCGGATTTCCAAGGAGGGTCTAACGAGTCCCCAAAGGTGTTCTCTTGAATCTCCGCTTTGAATCCAGGGTGGAGGTCCCACTAGGAAACAGGATTGGATTAGCTACCTGAATGAGGCTGAATCTGGATGGTTTTTTATCAGAGATGTAGAAACGCAGACAGATCTCCATTTCTGCTGCAGCTTTCTGCAAAGAAGTCCAGATTCGAGCCATAAATATAATCCTCTGTGCTAGTGGGACATAGTCCAAGAGCTGTATCATAGCAATTGTAGCAACGAGTTTCAGCTTTTGCCTATTGGTGTTTTTCTTGTTTTTTTTTATCTTTCTTGCCAAGTTTATTTTTCCATGAGCCTTTAAACTTCAAACAAAATTGCCTCCCTTTTCCCAGAAGAAAAAGAAAAAAAAAGCCTTCCTTTCTAGGCTTCCTGAGCCGCCCGGCCGGGCCGGCACAGCCGTGCACCCGTGCAGCCTGCACGGCCGGGGGGCTGCACGGGTCACCCGTGCGAGGTATTTTTTTTTAATTAAAAAAAAAAAAGGTGGTGATCGGGGCCTGCTGTGCATGCAGAGAAGTCCCAGAATCTGCCTTTTTCACACATGCTGAGAAGTGGTGATGGCGGGAGGGATGCAGAGGACGGGAGGAGGGAGAAAGAAGATGGCAGAAGAAAAGGACCAAAGTGGCAAGAGGGAGGCGGAGGATGGTGCGCAAGATGTGGGAGATGGCGAGAGAGGAAGTGGGAGGTAGCGGGAAACAGGTGGGAGCGGTGGGATGGAGGTGGTAAATGGCGGGAGGGGAAGTGGGATGTGGCAGGAGGTAGGTGGGAGAAGGTGGGATGGAGTTTAATATGGCGGAGGGAAGTAGGAGGATGACAACGAAAAAGAGGTGGAAGATGGCGGAACAGCAGGAACGAAGTGGCGGGAGGTGGAGGATGGCGGAAGAGCAGGAACGAAGTGGGGGGAGAGAGGCGGAGGATGGTGGCCATTGGTGGGAGCGACGAGGGAGATGGCAGGAGTGGAAGTAGGAGGTTGTGGGAGGGACGAAGGAGATGGCGGGAGGGACGAAGGAGATGGCGGGAGCGGGAGGGAGAGTAGGAGGGAGCAGGAGGGACGAAGGAGATCGCGGGAGGGGAAGAAGAAGGTAGACGACAAGGGAGGAGAAAAAGAAGAAGGCGACGCAGAGAAAAACTTTGCAATTTCTTTTCTGAACACTGTGCTGGGGCCGCACGGGGCCCGTACGGGGGACCCGCACGGCCGTGCGGCCGTGCAAGGATCCGTGCATGCAGGGGGCACCCGTGCGCACGGAAATGAAGCCTAGCTTCCTTTAAAAAACGCAAAGATTATTTTCTTTGCGTTTTTTTTACCAAAAGGAAAGCAACTTTTTTTTGGCCTTCCCTTTTGGTAAAAAACCGTTTTTTTCCCCAAAAGGAAAGCAACTTTTTTTTGGCCTTCCTTTTTGGTAAAAAACGCAAGGAAAATAATCTTCGTGTTTTTTACCAAAAAGGAAGGCTTTTTTTTCTCTTTTTCTTTTGGGAAAAGGAAGGCAATTTTGTTTAAACACTCACGGAAAAGAAATTTGGCAAGACTCCTCAACCCAAAAAAAAAAAAAAAAGCATTGATAACCTTACCTTGTGAGGATAAGGCTCCTGGGAAAGCCTAACGGGCCCCTGATGGATTTGTGCCCGCCCTAAGTGAAGGCAGGCCTAACAAATCACGAGAGGCAGAATACTGTCAAATTCGTATTTGGGGGGCTCAGGCAGTTGTGTCGCATCAGTTGGTTGAGGGAATCCAGGACCCAAGCAGCAAATACTTTCCATGGCCTTCTAGGCTTTTCCTGAAGTGCAGGCCCTGGGCCACATTCGCAGCAGTATACACAGACAGTTGGGAGGAGTAACTGAACAAGGCCCAGCAGCATCAGCAGAGGCCCAGCAACCTGGGGCCTACCGGAAGCTTCTGGGCGCAGGCCCAGCCCAGCCAGGTCGAAGGCCAGGCAGACTCTTTCCGTATAGGAAAGAGCTCGCTGCCTGGACTCTCATTCAAGTACTTGCCAGTTTGTGGCAGCGCTGCTGGAGCGGACGCTCGCGCCCTGCTGCTAGCGCTAGGGACAAGGTGCTGTGCATGTGCGGTCGTGTGGGAAGAAGGGCACTGCTGAGGGCAGCGCCATAGTGCCCTGCCCAGCTTCCATAGCTGGCTGGGCTTGGAATACAGCAAGGCGCGGGGGTGGTCTTTGGGTGCACAGAGGGAAGACAAGGGTGAAAGTCGAGGGAAAGAGAGAGAGGATGAAGGTGCTGTGCACGTGCGGTAGTGTGGGAAGAAGGCGCTGCTGAGGG